TTCAGTCTCAATACCTAACAGACACACAACTCCTTTTTGCAGGGAGAACCTCATGTGCTCTCTTGAAGTCCCAGTGAAAATCTCTTTCCAGACACATAACATGAGTTCAGCCTCTCCCAGCAGATGACAGGGGGTGTGGCATATGCAAATAAGTTATGCTAATGAGCTCCTGCATCTATTTTTCTACAAAATGACCCCTGATCATCATTATGCCAAACATGTCAGGAAAGGTCAAGCCAGGTAGGGAAATGCTTCGTTTAAGTTAAAACAATGTCTTTCCCTGAAGACTAGTTCCTGCCATTGGGTACGGTTTCAAGGAGGGGACAGGGTCATTAGCAGACAAATCCATAACGTCTCACCTTCAGAATCCCATCCCAGACTTGCTGGCATCCATTTTATGTAACACCAGAGCCACTTTGGCTGTGTTTTCAGACCAGGTAGTGCCCAAAGAATGCGATTTTGGGGTGCTGTTAAAGTGAAGGGAGCTTATGACTTTCAGGGTGCCAGTGTTCCCTCTAAGCTTAGTTAGCTACCTCACTGTTTTTTAGCCTCCGGATCACACATTTTTTGTCTTAGCCCAGGAAGGATGGCTCCAGAGCAAACTAAATCATGCAGTATCCAAACTGCTCACTCACAACGTTAATGCCAGTAGTTCACAAAGTTGAATTTTTCCTCAGAAGACTTTGCAGCTTAGAGGGAGCATTGCAGGTTGCCCCAATAACAAAATCACTCTACCTACTCTCAGCATGGGGCCTGCCCGCCGGGACCCACCTACACCTGGGACCCAGCAGGGTGAAGTTGTTCACCTCTGTGCTGCTGCTTTCTCCACCAGACCCTGTGGGACCAGGCTGGCAAACAGCCTATGAAGTGCCTTTCTGAGGAGAGGGCGCATACCCTATTGTCAGGCCTGGGATCTCCTGGGTTCCCATCTATACCCTGGCTTTCTGTGCAACTTTTTGCAGCTTTTTCGGACTCTGGCCACTTCCTGCTGTTCTTCCCCCATCTGCTGCCCCCTGGCGCAGCCTCTGTCCACTGCGGTTTATCCTTGGTTCTTCTGGGACTTCTGCCATTGCTTGCTCCACCTGGCACCATTGGGCCCTCCAGAACAACAGCTGCCACGGTGGTACGGGAGGCTGATGGCCAATGGCTGGTCAGTGACCTCAGTGCCGGGGGGGGCAGTTTCCTCGTTCACTGGGATTGCATATCCATGCCATGGCAGTCTCTCTTGGGGTGGCTCCCAAGTCGGGGTCTGGTACTGCTGGACCGGGAAACTGAGAACTCAAAAGGGTTTTCCCCTCTGTGGGTCCTCTTATGCTGATGAAGATGGGCACTCTGACTGAATCTCTTTCCACACTCTGAGCATTCAAAAGGTTTCTCCCCTGTGTGGGTTCTCTGGTGCTTCTGAAGATTGCTACTCTGACTAAATCTCTTTCCACACTCTGAGCATTCAAAAGGTTTCTCCCCTGTGTGGGTTCTCTGATGCAGTTGAAGACTGCTACTAAAACTGAATCTCTTTCCACACTCTGGGCATTCAAATGGTTTATCCCCTGTGTGGGTTCTCTGATGCAGTTGAAGACTCCTGTGCAAACTGAATCTCTTTCCACACTCTGGGCATTCAAAAGGTTTCTCCCCTGTGTGGGTTCTCTTATGCTGCTGAAGACTACTACTCTGACTGAATCTCTTTCCACACTCTGAGCATTCAAAAGGTTTCTCCCCTGTGTGGGTTCTCTGATGCAGTTGAAGACTGCTACTCTGACTGAATCTCTTTCCACACTCTGAGCATTCAAAAGGTTTCTCCCCTGTGTGGGTTCTCTGATGCAGTTGAAGACTGTGACTGAATCTCTTTCCACACTCTGAGCATTCAAAAGGTTTTTCCCTTGTGTGGGTTCTCTGATGCACTTGAAGATGGGCACTCTGACCTAATCTCTTTCCACACTCTGAGCATTCAAAAGATTTCTCCCCTGTGTGGGTTCTCTGATGCAATTGAAGCTTGCCACTCTGACTGAATCTCTTTCCACACTCTGAGCATT